CGGCTGGCACGGGGCCACGCACCAGGATGAGTCCGCCGGAGAAGAGTCGCTGACTTAAGACCCGTTCCAAGGCGCCAGGAAGATAGAACGCCGAGAAGAATAACATCTGAAGCCCGCCTGGAAGCTCTGCTGCCTGGGTGCCGGTAGGCAGTCACCCCCCTACATAATGTGGCCCTAGATAGGTAACTAAAATTGTCTGTAAACCGCTCAGAGACCCTTCAGGGTTAGAGCGGTATATAAACTAAAAGTTAAATAAATAAATAAATAAATAAATAAACTCACTTTTAGGGAGATACAAAGCTGAGTGTCATCTGTATATTGGTACACACCTTACACCAAACCCTCATTGGTTTAATGTAGATGTATAACAGTGTGGGGACAAAGAGTGATCCAGGATTCTGTGGGGTTAGTGCTGCAGGGCTCAGTAGCAGTCTCCCAGCCACAGCTTTTCAAAGTGATCAGGTAGGTAGGTGCAGAACCCCCAAAGAACAGAGCTCCTGAATTCCAAGTCAACCAGCTACTCCTGGAGACACACACTCCAATGAAGATCATCAGTCACAGCTTCTGGTGCTGTTTCTGCTACAAATCCAGGCCTGAATCTGGACTGAAATGAGTATAGATAATTGCTTCTTCTAAGCCCACCTGACGTTGCACAGCCACTATGTATTTGATTACATTGCCCAAGAATGGAATATTAACCAGTGGATGGTAGTTGCTGAGGTCAGTCAGGTCCAGGGACTCATTCTTCAGGAGAGGTTTCACAACTATTACCTTCAGGTGACCAGCACCATCCCCTCCCTCAAGGTTGGATTTATAACATCCCACACCCACTCAGCCAGCCCAACCTGGCTTATAACTGTCAGCCAAAAGGGACAAAATCAGACTAAAAAGTTATTTTTTAATCTTTTCAAGTCCACTAGCTACTTAGTATAAAGGTACTTTTCTAATGTGCAACCATCAATAGTAAGTTCATGTTTGTTTTATGTAAATTCTCTACAATTTAATCTCCTGTGGACTTATTGGAAAGAAACCATAAATATAATATGATTTGCAGTTTTCTTTTCATGTGCTTCTGTTACTCTGGTTCACAGGGTCATCTAGGTCATCATACAGAACTTCCTGATCTTTGTTTTTATTAATTTGGTGCTCTGGAAATTTGATCAACAAACTAACTTCCCTCCCAAAGTTCTCTAATGTGATCTTGCATAAAAATAAGTTCTAAAAGTGACAACTAAAAAGTTAGTAATTGGAGAAAACTAACATGAAAGCTTACACTTTTGGAATAATATGACAGTTTCTTTTTTAGACAGATTTTAACTCGATTTCTAATGCTAGTCCCTGTACTGATGGCTGGAAGAAGGTAAAAGACTAGCTTTTCTCTGGCCATGTGCCATATCTCCAGTAACTTGTGTGTACCCAACATCCCAACCACCAGAAGTTGAGGGCCAGTGAGTAGTTTTCTGCAAGTCTCTGAAGACTTTGAACTGCAGAAAATGATGCTGGCAACAGAATACAACAAAAATATTTTATTTGTAGTACAAGTATATTCTTTACGCTCCACTGAGTCTGCATGATTAGCAGAGTAAAATTTCTAAATATTTTCTGTCTTGTTTAAGAAATTTCTGCAAAGGATTATATCAAATCAAAAAGACAAGTCTTCCAATCTCTCCCCCACATCTCTGAATTTAGTACAGTTATTGTAGAAATATGAACACACATGTGAAGCTGCCTTATACTGGTCACTGTTGTCTACTCAGACTAGCAGTTGTTCTCCAGGTTTTCAAATAGAGGTCTTTCACATTGCTACTGCCTGGTCCTTTGAACTAGAGATACTGGGGATTGAATTTAGGAGTTTCTGTGTGCAAAGCAGAGGCTCTTCCGCTATGCTACAGACCCACCAAATAGGTTGTCTTGAATGAAAAATCTAGAGCCTGAAAGCAGATTCTCTTGACATAACTTCTAGGGAGTTCACACTGATTATCAAATTAATCTCATTCCCTGTAGAAAGCAGCATATGGGTACTCCAGAATCCTGACTGTTAAGGTGCAGGCATCATGTATCTAGATAGCTGAAAGAACAATGCTTCTCTTTGGAGGTGATTTTGAAATCTTGAGATTTTATCAACTGTACAGAATGCTGGTTTACAAATGCTGAGCTTTCTGAATAATGAAGTGATGCTAAAGGGATAGCACATTTATTTTTGTGTTTGGCCAACCTGCTAGCTTTGTTTTGTGTCAGGACAAAATGGGTTTACATGAGCCTAGGAATAGCTTAAAGAGAGTAGAAGAGGCGGAAACAAATGGAGCAGGGGTTTTACTCAGTGGCAGAGCACATAACTTCCATGCAGAAGATTCCAGTTTTGATCCATGGCATTTTTAATTTAAAATATTGGGTAACGGGTATTGGGTAACAGGCCTTTCTCTGTTGAGGATTCCAGGTATCCTCTGCCTGTCAGTACGCAGTACTGAACAAGGTGAACTATTTGTCTGACCGCATAAGCAAGGGGATTTCAGAGACGGTTGGTTCACATTTTTTATATAAAGTATTTCCCAAAATGGTTTGAGTGTGATTGGGTTAGAACAATTTCTATTAAACTATTGTGGAATGCAAATGATTGCATTAGATTTTGATATTGTATCTTAATATCATCTGTAAATTGTGTTTTGAATATTTTTAGCCATATAATTTGTTTTTATTAATGTATATGTGCATGGTTTTGGGTGGTGCAGTTCTTAATTAAAAATTACTTTGCCTCCAGTTTGTTGGCTTTATAAACACATAGTTTGGCTCCTAGAAAACTAATAAATGTGAAGTAAGCATTTGCTTTGATGGAGATATGCAGGTCTTGCTTTACTGAGTGCTTTTTCGTGCATGATTGAGCAACTCCAGTTACCATAGCAGTTGCACTTGATAAATCTCCAGGTAGATGTCTTGTACTTCAGTTAGACATAGACTGCACAGCCCTCCTTCAAACCCATTAGGATTTGTGGAAATTGGTCTCTTATAACAGGAATGCTCCAGCTCCTGGTAGATATAGATAATGTGGTGAGCCCAGTTTCCCAAAAGGATAGTGTGGCTAGGTCTGCGAAATGTACATGCTAGTTGGCTGAGCAGATTTTTGCACTGAGATACTTACCTTGTCTTCTTTGGTTATGTTTTCTAGGCTTAACTGTCTTTCAGGTCCCTTTTAATAGTAGACTTCTCTTCTAACTGTTGGCTAATATAACTAGCCTGGGATATCTGTCCAGTTCTTAGAAATCCAGATTTGGAGGTTGTTAACATTCTGTTGTATGCAAATTGTCAGAATCAATCTACATGGAATTCCTCAACTTCACCCCAACTGCTGCTGATCATGTTGTGATCTCTGCCACATTCCCTTTTCAGACCCCACCCCATCTGTGCTCTAAGGCCTTCAGACAATCTCGGTGCCAGATCATGGGACTCAAGTCAACCAGACCTGGACTTTCCAATCAAGAGGTGTTACTACATCAAAGGGCTAGTGTGTTTCCCTCTTAGTTGGGAAAGGATGCTCTCTATCCAGGAAGAGCACCTTTTCCCCAGCCACAGAGATGCCAGGGGGCCCTTTCCATCACCATAACTGTTGGGGGGAAGATAGTAGAGAAAGAGGAAGATGCAACATGAGCTGGATTGACTCAGTAAAGGAAGCCACAGCCTTCAGATTGCATGACCTGAGCAAAGCTGTTAATGATAGCACACTTTGGAGGTCATTAATTCATAGGGTCACCATAAGCCAGAAGCAACTTGACAGCACATAACACACAGTTCTTCATGTGGAAGTTCATCTTCTCAGTCCAAGGTACCAGATTTCCTCTGAAGATGAACTAAAGGCCTTTCTGCTCTTCTCCTGGCTGTGTGCAGATGCTAACTGCTGGGCAAGTGGTACCTTCTTGGCTGTCACATTAACTTACATAGTGTTGCAGTGCCATCCTAAGCAGAGGTGCACCCTTCTATGCCCATTAGGTCAATGTGCTTAGAAGGCCTTAACTCTGCTTAGGATTGCACGGTTGCTTTGCTAAGAACTGGGATGCCAGCTTTTGGGAAAATGTTACTGTGCAATTCCTGTATGCTATGCTAGAAGAGCACTGCTAGTAAAGAAATGGGCAATCATACTGGAATTATCTTTTAGACAGGAGCATGTATGTTGATCTGCCCAATTCTAACATTATTTGGTTATTTTCCCCTTTGAACTAATTATTGGATAACAGCTCTAATCTTTCTGTCTGCTACCTCAGCTGTGGAAACAGAAGATTTCTTTCATTTTGTTATTTAGTTGAATGTGACAGGTACAATTTAAAAAGTGTTTAGAGCGAGCAACTGAATTGTCCCAATATTTATTATTTTTAATTTATTAATACTTTATTTGTATCCTGCCCTTTTGTATGAAAGAACGCTCAAGGTGGCTAAATATTAACCCTAGATAATCTTGCAATAGAAGAGGTTTTATAAATCATAGCTGTACTGGTTGCTTGGGGATTTTGTGAACTAGTATATCAGTCCCCTTCATCGCTCATGGTGGCAGGTAAATGAATGAGTCTTCCATCTTGCCATTTGATCACCATTTGGCAATAGGGGGCATGCTAGTGCTTCATAAAATCCACAGACCAAGAACTTGGGCTTCTTCAGTCTTGGAATGTACTGGTTTTGATTGTCCCACCCATTTTCCTTCATTTAACCTTTTTTTTTAGAGTTTACATTACAGCAAAATTTAGCGTGTTAAACTGTCCTTTCAAAATCAGGTTTTCCTGTGTTTGTGAAATGCCAGATGTTTTATATTTTCTGTCAATAGAAAAGCCTCATGTCAAATATGAATATCTCTTGTAGAAAATGGAAGAATGATGACTCATTAGGTTCTCAAGTATTGCCTACAGCTGCATTATAATAATTCAGGTTCCGAGAGAGGAACTATGAATTTATCTGTGTTTGTATATTAATTTCAAATGTAACTACTGCCTACTAAATGGACCATTTTCTTATTGCAGAAAAGATGAGAAGGAGTATGCACTGAAGCAGATTGAAGGTACAGGGATATCCATGTCGGCATGTAGAGAGATAGCAGTAAGTAGACTAAATGTTTAAATGTTTCTGTCATAAATAATGTGTTGCTGTTCCTCTCTTATCAGAGTACAGGTTTAATTATATGAAGTTAATATCTTGCTTATAGTATTATACTTGAAAAAGTTTTAATACTGAACTATGTTTAAAATTTGAAATGTACTGTCCAGATACAGAGTACCAGTTTATAGTGTTGCTTGCAAGTAAAATAAACCTCTCTACTCATCCAGTAATTAAATAAATATCACTAGTCTCAGCCATGAAGGGTCATAAATCTCACAGCTGGGACAAGAGGAACAAGATGGGGTGGAGCAGCAGTGATAAAAATGACAATGGTAGGAGGTAATGGCTTTGGTGGGAAGTCAGGCGACTGAAGCAGTCAGCAATGGAAAGGGAGGTGGTGGCAAAAGCAGCATGAGGAGGAGAGAGAACAAGCAAGCAAAGGAAAGAGAGGCAATGGGTGAGCAAGTGAGGAGTAGCCATGGCAGAAACAGCGATGAAGAGGCAGCTCAGGAATGAGGCTACAAGCAAGCTTTTATGAGAGAGGCAACAGCAATGAAAAGGGCAGCAGGAGGGAACAAGGTGGTGCTGCATGTTGGACAGAAAATGGAGTTATGGGGAACAAAACTAAATAGGATGAAGAAACAGGGATCTACAGGGGTGGATGGGATCTCCTTTGGATGTTTTTGCAGGTCCCTACCTCCCCCCCTTTCTTTTTATCTATCTCTGATTAACATAATCATGTATGTCATTTGATGTTGATTAAACAATATGACTGGCAGCTCCATGAATGAACTGATTATACTGAAAATACTGCATTTTATTTTAAACCTCTGTTGTGTTAGATCTATGATGACTCATTTACACATGCTAATAGTCAGTACAGTCATCATGTGATAAACATGCTGATATGAATGAGCCTTGTAAAAATGAAAAAAAATGACTTCCTTTTAGTAGTCACCTTCCTTCTAATAGTTCATTATGTATGAACACACATGCACAGTGAGGATATTAATCTGCATATTCAGAACTGCTTGGTCAAGAAGAGTGTTTGGGAGGTTACCCATGCTGTGAAGGGAAAGAATCACTGTAGCTGTCTCATTTGTAGAATTTGCATGTTCACTGTTCAGAGAGAGAGAGAGAGAGAGATGCCAGTAGATAGAGCCCTGTAATTTATATAGGCAATTTATATAGACTCAACAACTCCAGAAGTATCCCTTGCCAATAGTGATATTGCAAGCAGTGTTTGGAGAGTTGCTCATGATATGTTCTTCATGTCTTTGCTTTGAAGGATATTGGAGAGAAGCTTATGTAGCATTGATTTTAAAGTTGTTTTATTCATGATTCTGTTCTATTTTTCTTCTGATTTCCTCTTCACCACCCCACCAAGGAGGTTTCCAAAGGAGCACACATTTAAATATTAGTTATCTGATGGGGTATTGCTAGGAGTTTCCCTACTTTGCGATTGGGGGTGAGAGTTTAAAAACAGACTCTTCACTGAACCAGTACTGTGACCCACACTGCACCTTTGTTCCCACTGTGGGTATGGTTATACTGATTTTGGGAGATGCCAGCTCTGTATGTTAAATGGCAGGATAAGTTGTTGCTTGTATATGAGGATATAAGACTTATCCCATACATGTGTTGCTGCATGGTTCTCCAGAGGAGCATCAGGGATTTTTGTTCTGAATGAAGCAAATAAACTTGTAATTAACTTCTGTTTCACAATCACTATTTACCTCCATGCTTCCATTTTCTTGGGATGTTTAGTTGGCATTGGTCTCTGAAATAAAGGTTGTACTACTTGTGTTCCAGTGATAACATCCTCCAAAGTATGTTCATCTTAATAGAACTGCATAAAGTAGGCATGAAGTGCTAAGGCTCATCCACGTGGATAGTAGAATCGATTTCAAGAGGTTCTTCCTCTGCTTAAAAATCTGCCAGTAGTTTAAGAGCAACTAAAAGACATTTGTTCCCCAGAATTCCTTCCAAATTAGTTATTGGCTATTACTCCTTGATTTAACTGAACTTCAGGTAATTGAAGACCTTTGTAATGTAATACTAGGTATAAAGCTTGAACACAAGGGGCTGGGGCTGCAGTCCTAAGCACACTTACTATGCAATGTGCAATGAATGAGAATTACTTCTTTGTAAATACACTGAGGACCATTCTGTAGGCATTTAAGTATCTCCCTTTAAATCCTGTAGAAAGCAATTATTATTAAACATGCCATAATAGATGCAGATACATGCAAGATTCCCAAATCTCTAATAGAGAAGAAGAAGAGAAGAGAAGAGATTGGATTTATACCCCGTCCTTCACATGGTCTCAGAGCGGCTTACAAACTCCTTTCCCTTCCCCTCCCCATAACAGACACCCTGTGAGGTGGGTGGGGCTGAGAGAACTCTGACACGAACTGCTCTTTTTCAAGGACAGCTGTGCCAGAGCTTGTGACTGACCCAAGGTCACATCAGCAGGTGCAAGTGGAGGAGTGGGGAATCAAACCCAGTTCTCCCAGATTAGAGTCCGCGTACTTAACCACTACACCAAACTAAGAGAAGCCAATGTTGGATCAGGCCAATGGCCCATCTAGTCCAACACAAAAATACCAGGTGCCATCAGGAGGTCCAGCAGTGGGACCGGGACACTAGAAGCCCTCCAGTGTTGCTCCCCCCCCCAGCAGCAAGAATACAGTGCATCACCTGCCCCAGCCTGAGAGTTCCTATCTATACCTTGTGGCTAATAGCCACTGATGGACCTCTGCTCCATATGCTTATCTAATTCCCTCTTGAAGCTGTCCATGCTTGTAGCCACCACCACCTCCTGTGGCAGTGAATTCCATGTGTTAATCATTCTTTGGGTGAAGAAGTACTTCCTTTTATCTGTTCTAATATGACTGCTCAGCAATTTCATTGAGTGCCCACGAGTTCTTGTATTGTGAGAAAGGGAGAAAAGTACTTCTTTCTCTACCTGGTCTATCCCATGAAACAGAAGACGTGATAGGTCTTATGACAAAATTACTGCATGTAAATTATTGTAACCATTTCAGTTACATTTCTTTGCCAACAGTTTTCAGTATCTGTTTGGTCCTTTCAGTCCTAATCATAGTTAATGCACTTGGTAATGAGTTCCTTGTAAAGGCTGCAGCCAATGTAGAATGTAGTGACTGGCTGTATGACCTGACATGGTCATCTGGAGTTCTTTATTACAGAGGACATCTTCATTTGTTTTGTGTAGCTTTCCAATCTAATTTAAAGTACTGATTGTGTACTTTGGGAAGCACTAAAGAATTTGGAGCCAACATTTGTAGCAGTATGCTTGCTTCCTTGAACCATGTTATTACTTCCACAATTAACAAATAGACCTCTTTACTGTAACATTTGTGGACAAAAATTCAAGACAAGGTAATGTTTATACATATTCTTCATGGCATCTGCACAGTTCTGGAACACTGTGTCCTTAGAGACTTATCCAAGTTTGATCAAGGAAATAACTCCTTTGGGTGTTTGATAGGTGTTTAGCAGAAAAAAGATTTCAATTTAAAATATATTTATGTATTGCTTTTTACCCCACTTTGTTACACAATTTTAAAACCATTTGTTCTGTCTTCCCACAAGGAATGGGTTACAAAATTTTAAGAACTAATAGATTAGTCATATTAAACATACTTTAACCTTGAAAGTGTGTAAGTATTGCTTAACTCCACCATCCATAATTTATAGGCATGTTTTAAAACATAGCAGATGATTTTGAATTCCTTTATTCATACAAAAATTTGAGGGGGGCAGATTTCAAATGTCTTGCGAAATCCTGTTGGAAAATTATTTTTCTTCTTTGCTTTCTAAGGCTGCAATCTAATATACACTTCTTTGGTGTAAGTATCAGTGAATTTTGTAGGACTTCGACTGGAGTAAGTTCACTGCCCCAAAGAGTTCAATAAAGAATGACAGGGGGAAAATACTGTTGGTACAATGCATAGTACCACACCATTTTGAGTCTACAAACAATGTCTGTAGCTGGAAGCTCAATTGGTTTATACCATTGCTGGAAGTAATCTTACAGGAACGTTTTGATGTGAAGTAGGAGAGATGACACAATTTTGGATTTAGTGCATAAGGAAATGGCACTCTCTGTTCGCTTACCTAGAGCTATTGAAAGAACTACTAAATTTAAGGTATTTTAAAAAGAGGTTAGGTATTTGTTAGCTACAGGATGTGCGTTCAGTGTAAAAAAAAAGACTCAGTCAGTGAAAGTAATTCAATAACAGCAATAATGACTATTTCTGACCTGTGTGCCAGTGGTAAAATTAGCAGCAGTGTAATATGCTGTTAAGTGAGAGGCATTGGTCCTTTTGATGCTAGGATCTTTAGCACCGCTGTTCCCATGCTTTTCTATGATCAGATGGTGTCATGACCCCTAGTGGGTTGCCACCTTCCTCTGCCACCACTCTGTATTTATAGTCCCTTGGGAAGGCCCAGAGTACCCTCCCAAGCCCAACCAATAAGCCCCTTTTAAGCCGAGAAATATAGGTGTGATGACCAGGCAGAGAACATTAAACAAATCGTTTATTAATACAGTAATGGGGCAAGGAAAACAAGACAAGGTGCTTAAAATATATAACAATGTTTAAAGGTCAAAGAAACAAATCTAATGCGACTACCTATTTCTCTTAACTGGTTACTATTCAAGGCCCACAAAGCTTAAGTCACAATCTCCTCATACAAATCCTGGACACCGATTGGTTACAACCGTCGCTAAACATTGTGGGGATTGTAGGCTGTGTCTGCTTTCCACTCCCACACAGGTCTCCTGGGGCCTAGGCCTCTAGGCCTTGTCTTCCAGTCCTACACAGATCATGACAGATGGGGATAGAATTTAACTGTGGTTCCACTGTGTGTATTTAAAATGCCCATTCCCATTGCAGAGGCAAAAATGGGTAGCCCCTGACAAATCCAAGATGGGTCAATAAAGAGATAACCAAACAAGGAAGCCAACTTGTTTA